GGAAAGTGTTCTAGTGACTTGGCACATTTGATTTCACCAAGAGCGGGACATATCAGGAATACGCGACAGACTGTGGCTGCTCATCGTTTTGAGGTTCAACTCAATACACCTCAAATCCCACTGTTTAAGAACTCTTTCATTTGTAGAACAGCGTTTATGTGTAATAAACTTCCTTAGAACGTTTTTACAAATTAATTTAATCTCCAGCGATTCAAATCTAACGTTAATCTGTACTTTCGTACAAACACTGTGCGAAAGTTATAATGATAGGTAAAAGCAAAACACATCAAATGAATGACTGAATCTGGTAAAACAGACAGATTTTGAGGAAATAATTAGGTACAATACAATGTCAACTTCCAGGAAGGTTCAATATTGTCATTGTCATCTATATTTCTTTAAATTAATTCTGGCCAAGCAGATAGATTGAGAAAGCACAAATTAATACAATATTGATTCTTGGAAAGCAGTTGAGACGTAAACATATTAATATATGACATTTCATGAGAACAAGTTCGACAATGGCGAATAAATAATTTGCTGTTGGTCGTTTGGAAGATAATTTTGCGTTTATTGCTTTCCATATGTATTGTATATTCTAGGTGGTTCAATTTCTGTCCTTCATTTTTTGCATGTAATGTCGTAGTCCATGTTGAACAACCATGTTCCATTCGCTATCGTATTTAAAACTAATTATAGGTACGACACTGGCTGGCAAGAGACTTACCGTAATCCAATAGGAATTTAGTTGAGAGAGTCTATACCTGCGCGATCGCTCGCCATCACGTTTGGCGCTTGCTATAGTTTACAAAACTTCTTTTACAGCTGCCGGACTGAGTCATAGCTGGTGAAAAGCTCCTCCCTCAAGATGTGCAGTAGATGTGTAGAAATCTGTTATCAGTCTGTTAGATTATATTCGAGCCGTAAACATCCAAATTCAGGACCGTATTCAGTTAGGGATGCAGATACGATTTCTCCCACCGACCGTGTATCAGTCCGGTAGCTGAATGTTTGGCGATTCTCGTTTTGGAATGTCTTGAAGTCCTTCCTATGTCTCTTTTCGACTTATATGTCCTCCCTAGGAGTTGCCAGTCTTAAATGCTATGTTAATGTTCTCTGTTCAATAGTTTTTCTTAAAAAAGCATTTTTTTTGAAAAATGGTCGTTCTTCCTATTTCTACGCCATAAACTCGATGAAAGACTTTTTTCAAAGCGAAATCCATTTGACGACTGATGACAATATTATTATCATTATAAATTTTCCTTCGAAGGAGAATCGTTGGAAAATTGTAGAGCATCTCAATTAATTTGCTCTCCTTTCAGTTTGTTTCCATAATCGATGAAGAGCCGAACCAGGAAGATATTCAAGCCGTAAATTAATTCCAATCGTTCTGAATTATGATCAGCACTTCAACTGTTTTTCCAAAATTTACTTACTGAAATTTCCAACGAGTAATTAGCTCAGGGAAAATTGGGGTAGAAAAGTTTTGACTGTAATGAATACGCCATAAAAAGGATTTATGTATCAAGTTGCCCGTGGTGAAATTATATCAACCAGGGAAGCGAATAAATTTTAAAATGATAAATTAGAGATTGAATGAAAGTATCATGTTACACAATGAAATATGATTGTGGAAGCAGAAAATGTAAAGCTTGGCAAATCTAGCCGTGCCTCTGAGATACGCAAAAGATAAAGAGATACGGTAACTGTCCTTCTAACAACTTTCATCAGGAAGTACAATTAGGGTAATACGTAAATTTGGCAAGTATTGACAACTATACATATTTTCTTATTAGTCAGTGGGCTTATGCTTGAAGACAGGCAGTGAACAAATCTAAAGAAAGGAACTTTAAATGTTGAAGCCTGTCTCGGATATACCTACACAGTAGGTTGAATGTACTGAGGCCTATCAGAAAACAACTACTCCACAGACTAATACCACGAACGGCGTTGGATTATATCCGACATTCGTCAGTGCAGGAATCTTCACAGAAAATTCCTGCATATGCATTTGGCAATACAACTGAAAGAGTCGACCTTCTATTTTGCAACGGGCACACTTGCAGACCAGTTTCGGGCTCCTCAGCCACTCGTCAGTGCAAGATAGTGACCATAATCGACCTAAAGTCGATGATATTCTTCTGATAATTCCTTTTCCATATTCTCTGTTTCACCATAACTGTCGTCATTCAATTCAAAAATGAATGTATTTCCACCATTAATACGGAATTGTCCAATCTCCATATAGTCTTTTCAACTAAAATTACTTTTTTAATCCTCTTCTGCCAATCTTCTTCGTTAATATTAGATACTTCTTCTTTGATAAGCTCTATTACCTTTGTATCAAATTTTGTTAGCAAGCACGTTAGGCGAACGCATTTCCGAATCATCTCTACGCTAGCTTGGCTGGATACGCAACATATGGAAACCCATCATTAAGCGAAAAATGGCCAACTCCCGCCAAACGGTCATCTCTCATTAAACCAGTGAAGCGGAAAAAATGGAAAGCGGGGATGAGTGAAAGTACTCGAACGACCCATAAATAGTCATCTCTCGGAGGAATCAGTCCAGTCGTCACCCGAAGACGATTGTGGATTTTAACAATCGAAACGTCGTGAACTTACTTGCCTTAGAATGTCTTTACTGTTTATTATTTATTTTAATTTCAAGTTTTTGTTCAATTGTTCTATTTTACTTGTATTTTATCTCACTATTATTTCATTTCAGGTTTTTTGCTTAATATAATTGTTATTTTCAACTATTCATTTGTAATTTCTTCTTATTTTTAGTTCTTTCAGGGATTTCAAATCATTTTATGTTATATCACACAATAGAAGTCCGAACTGATGAAATTCATCATGAAACATTGTCAATCACCTTCAAACAAATCATTTTTATGTATTGGTTTTTTTGGCCTTTGAAAGTGCCGCCAAATTTAAGTATGCACAATATCGTTTACTTCGACCATACCGGTCTCAACAATTTCAAACATTTCTCAGTCATTCTGTGGTCATTCCCTATGGCATGTTGAGCCACACTAGTTTTCTCCGGTCTATGTCACTCAAAACATTGTAAAACGCAAAATTGTATTATGAAAAATGGGTTTTTAGTCTGACTTGAAGTCATGAATAAATAGGTACAATTTTATTTTCATTACTATTCTTGAGTGTACATAGGCCATAACTATCATTACTTTCTAAATGGAGAACACCCTGTGCCCAATTTTGCCCAAGAGGACGAGTTGGTTTATTGTACCAAAATTGAAGGTTTAATGGATACATTTAATACCTCATACGACCCAGCACAGCAGCGTATTTTCATAGATGCTTCAAAACGAAGCCTGATTCCCCATGAGTGTCATTCCGATTTATTATTGAATGGCGTTCTCGATTCCATTCAACCAAGATGGATCACTTTGTTTTTTATTGTCGCAAATCGCTGAGGAAAATAGGTCTATTATTCTAACTTGATGACATAAATCGTTCACCCGTCCAGTGTGGTTGTCCACTGCGATGAAACGGACTATTGAGGATCAGGGCCGGCTTTAGCAATAGGAAAAGAGTGAAATATTACATCAGTGACACCACTTTTCTTTAAAGTCAACTGATTGCTTTTGCAAGTTGACACTGCACAAATACGACTAGGCATTTTAACTAAAAATTACAAGGTTATTTAATGGTTAGATAATTATTGCTATTATTTACAAAAACGTGAATATTTCCAATTATTACCTTGATTTAATTTAAAAATGTTTAAAAAACAAGAAAAAGTTCCACAATGGCGAAAAACAAACCTCAAAACGGAAGAAAATAACAGAGTCACTGAGGATACACTAAAAACACACTTTTGTCTATTTTCCACTATATTTCTTTATTGTTGACCAGTTTCGGCTATTACACCATTTTCATAATGGTGTAATATAGTGGAAAATAGACAAAAGTGTATTTTTAGTGTATCCTCAGTGAACATGAATTTCCACAAAATAAACAAGTCGTCAATCGAAGAAATAACAGAGTCTCATATGGCGTCTACTCGTTACATTTGTTTAAAAAATGTCCAAAAGCACAAAAAATACGGTTTTCACAATAACAAAGTCAATGTTTTAGAAACCTAATTGGTATACTTAAATAAAAATTTATTCAAAATAATCCTCAAAATAATCCTCAAAATATGTTAAAATAACACACAGTCTTATGGCAGCTACTAAGAGTATCACCAGTGTTACGTCACATCTGCTCGGCGCTTGTTTAAAGTGGCGATATATGTTACAACGTTTATTCCTCTCAGTTGAAAATAAAGTGCAGCTCAGCAGGAACAAATTGCAAATGACTGATTATCAATAGTTCCAATCCAGGAAGATCCTGTACTAGTGTGTAACCGTCTCTACAACCAACGAGGCATGATTAAATGATTAAAAGGAAAAAACAAAATCCTTGCTACTTACCCCACTGGAGGAGGTTTAAAAGTTCAAAAAATTAACGAGAGACTTTTTATTCCTTACAATTCGGAAGTAGAGATTCCACAACTTCAACTTCACTTATGAAATAAAAAAGGGAGCAGGTAGTACACAAAAAACTATCAAGAGGCGTTTTATTCATCATATATGATTCAACTTCAAGAGGAATATCTTATGGAGGAGTGTTCAAATCGACAAATGGAACTTATGGGTTCAGAACGCCATTTATTGAAGGCTCGTGATTTTTCCAAAACACATTCGCATCCACTCTTCATGAACTCGCCTTAAACTCTGTTCTAGTGGTCATCTACGTACTATTCGCATTTGCGCAGATAGCGGCGAGACGAATATCAGGGTGCCATCTCTGGGAGATAGAGTTGGCATATGGACTTTTGAAATTTGAATATGAAAAGATCTCAGTGTAGAAAATCGAGCATATACTGCTGACGCGAATTTCATTCATTCGTCTAATTTCGATTATCAAAAATATGTTCGACGTTTATCGCTACACGAAAATCCAATTAACCCTTCCAATTAATTCCAGGCTTCCATCAAAGAGGGATATTTACTGAAGCAGACGTGGTCGTTCCAGAGATGGAGAAGAAGATATTTCAAGCTGAAGGGACGCAAATTATATTATGCCAAAGATACAAAGGTAAGAATCAAATTTTTACGCTACAAAGAAGCTTGTCAGAGCTTTCGAATTGAATTACTCGGTTATTCTCCGACGAAAGGTAGCTTTATGAAAGCGAAGGAATAGGAAGAGAAATCCGTTCTCACCATTTGTCTATTTCTTTGAACGAATTCATTTTATACCGTGTGTTGATCTTCGTTAATAATTAATAGATGATAATCAAAATTTGAGGGTTATGATCTTTCAACACTTGGTTCAATACTGAACTCATAAATGTTGGTTCTAAAGAGCCTCTATTGGTTCAATACTGTGGCATTTTCAAAATATTCGAAAAATGAATCTAAATTGTCGATTTTTGTTTCCCTACCTGAGGGCCAAGGTGGCTTATCCTTGTGTTTCCGCAGAAGTAAGGTGATCTCTGCGGCTTTTATCTGAGCTTTTTGCTGAACGGGTTCCAACTCCGTGACAGAGTTGTGGTCACCTCGTTCAGTGTCGAAAACTATACTGAGTTCATCAGCTGCTCGGGCAGCTGCCCTAAAGAGAAATGCTCCAATTTACGCTCTCTTATGGTCACGAACCATGCAGAGAAGGGGATCCAAACTCCTGACGACTTTACAAGCTCTATCCAGTACGATTCTGTCGTGTAGACACTCCAAGCTCAAAAGTCCACGGTCTCCCTGTTGTCGAGGGAAGTGAAACCGTGGAACGGACGATGTGGGATGCAAACTCCTATGGAAATGCATCATTTCTCGGGTCTTTACCTCGAGTTGATACAGCTCCTCCCGAGTCCACTTCACTAATCCAAACGAGTAGAGTAAGATTGGAACGTCAAGCATATTTGTTACAGCAACTTTGTTCTTCCCCGACAGTTCCGATGACCAGATCTGTCGAAGTTTGTGCTGATACTTGCCGCGGAGAGAGTTTTTCACTGCTGTTACCTTTTGTGAGTGGCGTTGTTCCGCCCCGAGGTAAGTATACGTCTCTCCGGCATCCAGATGATGTAAGATGCTTCCATCTACGAGCTGCACATCATCTTCGTAGTCACCGCATCGAATTTCATACCGATAGCATGCGTGTACTCTTCCACCACCCTCAAGGACTGATGGAGATCCTTCTCTTCAGAGGCATAAAGTTTAAGATCATCCTTATAAAACAAATGGGTAGCCTTGTGCCTCCTGTTCCCGGGGGTGCCACAGTTATACCCTCGAGTGTTTCTGAGCGCAACGGATAATGGCAATAGTGGGATGCAGAAGAGAAGGGGACTGAGGGAATCATTCTGAAATACACCCCTTTTCAAAGTGACCCACCCTGTTTGGACTCTTGCTTGACCAGATGTTATGGTAAAGCGAATTCGCCAAAGTGGTATCAGTTGTTCAATGTATCCCACTATTTTGTCGGGTACCGCAAGGCATCTGCGCATCTCATGAGAAATTGTATTAAATGCCTTACGGTGATCGATCCAGGCCATAGAGAGGTTACGCTTATATTTTATCGAGTCCTGCGTTACACATCTATCGATGAGCAGGTTCTCTTTACATCCAGCGACTCCTCTCTTCGACCCTCTCTGCTCATATATCCGTTCGAACACTCGGTCAACTGCGGTGAGTATTCGTGTGTATAAGATGCTTTTAAACAACTTATAACACGAATTCAAGCATGTTATCGATCTGTAATTCTTAGGAATCGACAAATCTTCGCTTTTGGGGATAAGAACGGTGCCCCTCGACAATCTGGAATCGGCTGCTTTCCGTCCAACCATTAGTTGAAAACTCTGGCCAGATAGCGGTGGGTGCTTGGTAGTTTTTTCCACCAATAAGTGTTCAGCCCATCTGGGCCTGGAGCAGCAAAGTTCTTGGAACCCACAAGAGCTCTTCGAACGTCATCCGGGGTTATCGGGTTGCGCAGTTTATTGAGCTCAGGCTTTCGAAGCTCTCTGTTGGAAGCTTCGAACTGCGCTAGGGCTGGACTGTCTTAGTTGAGTGGCTGTGGTGTTCATAGATATCCTTCTAGAAGGATTCCACCTGATCAGCGGTCGATGGATTATCCACAACACGTCGAGGCTCTTGGAATAAGCGAGAAGGTTTTTCGCGGAACCTAAGGTTTTCCGCGATACTTCTCGCTCGCCTCACTAGTGACTTCTTAGCAGCCACTAGCATTCGTATCCTATCAAGGCA